AGAGAAGAGCGACGCTTCGCAGGGTCTCCAGTGGCTTGCCAGGTGCTGCTGAGACACCTCCTGTGGACTCTCCGCCTTTCAGGGAGCTGCCGAGCATTTCCATGGTGGTGCTACCCACGAGTCCTCTAATGACTTAGTCTTGAGATTTCAGGTGAAAATACTCTTCCCTCTCTTCTCAATCGATCTGCCGTCCCCTACATCCTCTCTCCCACCACTCCAGATCTTCCTGTAGTTGAAACTGGAACAAAACCCAGGAACCTAGCTGGTCCCAGCCCTTCAGTAAGAAGACTGTTAGGGGTTAAGCTTTGGGGCATCTGCTTTTTGAGTAGGTACAGCCTAACCCTAAGCTCATGGCACTCTCATCTCACAGATATTTCAAAGTCTGTACTCAACCAGCACTCCTCAAACTCTGAAAATCAATGAATAACAACGTCATCTCCCAACCTTCCAAGTTCTATCTTTGCACTTAGAAGAGCAAAAAAGTTCTCTAATCAGAGTCGAGTATGATTTTCCACTGGGTTTTCCTCATTAAAAAAGCACATTGGAAATGCCATTGTCTTAAACTAAGCAATAGAGAGCCTGCTGGAATCTAAATGATCCCAGCATGGAAATTACAGTTTGTGCAGATTACATTTGGTTTTTTATTACCATGTGTGAGATGGATGTTAATCAAGTGTCAAAGTAGACCTAGTCATTGGATAAGTAACCACATGGGGTAGGATTTACGGCCTGGTTCACCTCCTGCAAGGTGCTGGTTTGAATTTTAGCGCTTATACTAGATGGTGTGGCTTAGGTGAGCAGGCGGTGAGGTTACCTCTTCTCTCTCCATCACGTGAGGAGTTGGTGAGGTTACACCTGTTCTGTCTGTCTCAGGTAAGGAGGCTGTGAGGTTACACCTGTTCTGTTGTGGTGTAGCAGGAGGAGATAACCACGTGAGTTCACCTGTTCTTTCTGCACCAGGTGTGATTTTGGAACGTGTCACCACTGACCATCCCCCTCTTTCTGGGAATGTCTGGCTCCACTGAGTAAAGCACTGTCTCATTTGGAAAACACACACAACCAAGCAGCCCAAACACGAAACCCTTAGAAAGGCACCCCCAGCCTTGTGTCAGAGCAGCTCTCCAGACCTTTCTTCGGAGGTACATCTAGGTGGACTGGAATCTCCAGCCTCTCTGCAGTAACAGTCTGCACCACGAACGGGCAGTTCACTCTCTGTATGCATCATGTGGTTAATCAGAACCTTCCACCCTTCTAGCAAGCGCTGCCTTCGACACAGAGACTCATCTGCCAGGATGGTCTCGGACAAGAAACCAGCTACACACGCTGACCCCAGGCTTCCTCAATGCTCCGTGTCTTCCCACGACTCATCACTGGACAAAAACGAACGTGGCTGATTATTCCTTAAAGCACTAGATGACCAAGGTGCCTAAGCTCAGAGAGGTGAGGTGACTTGTCTAAGACCGTAGATGTCACAGATACTGAAAAGTGCAGAGGACCAGAAGATTGCTCAAATGCTCTCATTCCATAGTTGTCAGGGGCCTCCGGTGGGCATCACAACTGACCTCAGCTCTGTGGGTTGTTCCAGAGGAGGACCTGGTAGCAGAGAGGCTTGGTTTTAAAACTGAGGAGGCTCAGACACTGAGGTTTTGCTGTGGAAGCCTCTGACTCGAGCCTTGGCCTCTCTTCATCGAGAAGCAGGGATATACACAACCATTGTAGGAAGAAGCAGAGGGCTGAGAGGTTCGTCTGGCACAAATACTGCCTCTGTTGCAGCTGCACTGTTTTGTCCTGCCCTGACCAGTCAAGAGTAAGCAGCCGCTGCTTCAGTCCAGCCTCCGTAGGAACTCCTTCCCCATCGCCAGGTCCTAGCTGCTGTCCTGCCTCACCCTCCCATTACTGTGGGGAACTGTCAGCCCCCCAGCGGCCCCCGGAAAGGCCAGGCGTGCTGGTCCACACCCACGACTCCAGGTCACCTCTGGTTCAACACCTCCCCGTGTGCCTGCTGCCCACCCATCTCCCCCACCCACTTGGTATTCCTCCCTCCTCCCCACGGTTTTAGTCTCTTCTCTCTCATAAGTTAGGATGAAGGACTGTGGCTTTGAAGTCCGCTCACTGTGTTCTCCGCCCTTCCCTCATCCTTTCACGGAGCTCGGAATCACTGAGTACAGACAGTGTGCTGGACGGACCCTGGGACTCACAGGGATAGATGCTGGCATGGTCTCTGCCCAGAGGTTGGAGTGCAAAGGAGGAGACTGACGTTATTAGATAATAAAGGATGGCGTCTGGTGAAACCCTGATATAAAGAGTGAGACCTAGCCAGAGGACTGCACAGTACAGCTGTGTGGACACGTGCACACGGGGGAGGGGCTGGGCAGGACGCTGGCAGAGTACAGGGCACACGTGACAAACTGAAGGGAGACTGGTGGCTTTCCCAGGGAGGAAACCCAGCTATGAATGCATCAAGCAGGGCCTTGTCTGCCCCAGCCTGTAAAGCCAGCGCTCCTCAGTGGACAATTTAATTGCTGTGGCTGTTCAGTACTGCAGAGTCAGTTCTGACTCATAGACACTCTGTACAGGGTATCTGAGGAGCAGCTGGTGGGTTTGAACAGACGACCTCGTGGTCCTACAGTGCCATACCAGGACACTATCACCATGTTCAAACTCCAATCTGTCATCTTTGGCACCCAAGTGTGAGGTCTTTCTAAGTGGATCCAGTTTCCACTGAGCCAGAGCCAACGCCTGGTGAACCCAAGTGGGTCAGAGTAGAACTGGGCTCCACAGGGTTTTCAATGGCTGACTTTCAGAGATGCCCAGGGCATCTCTGGGTAGATTCAAACTGCCAACCTTTCAGCTCACAGCTGAGTGGGTCAACGCTTGCACCACCCAGGGACACAGAATATCCTCGTGCATCGAGTTGTTGATGGCATCCCCCCAGCTCGGCATGACTACAGTGGGCAGGAGCGGTCTCTTTTGTAAACCTATGCTTTGTATTAAATTGTTCACGGTTACCGAGGATCGTGACCAACACTGTGTGGATGAGGAAAGAACTGCTGTACGCATCACGTGTACGGAATGAGACACACTGTCATTCACGGACCCAGAGCAAGCAGCTGCCACTTGAAGCACGGAACACAGAGACCTTCTGATGTCCACCTCTCCCGGGTGCTGCCCAGGGAAAGGGTCAGTTGTGTTAGGAACAGCTCCTTCAGTACACACAGAATTTAGAAGCCACGTGAGTTTAAAATGGAAACATATCCAGTTGACCTTTTGGGTCTGTTGCCTCTCCTACCTCTGGAAAAACCCGAGTCTCTGCACCTGGGAAAGGTGAGACTCTCTCCTTAACACACAGACCTGGAAACACATCTCTTTGCCTTCACTATGAAGATATGGCTTTTAACTATTGAATATCCACCTCAAAACATAACCTCTTTCCATGAGATCCTTCCCCCTTTTTTTTGCTTGTTCTGTTTTTTCATTGCTGAAAGTTTTCCTATCTTCTGGGATGTCCTGGGGGGCATTGCTTGTAGTTCCACATAAGGGCCTGTTTTTTGAGGCGAGGACTGCCTGGGTCCAAGAGGGAACGCAGCAGATGACTGAGGATGAACTTGTTCTATAAATCCTGAAGTGGTTTTTAGAGTTGACTAGAGACTGAAGTCCTGGTGTGGTGCTGTAGGGTAAGCGCAGGACTACAAGATTGGTTTGAACTACAAGGTTGGTGGTTCAAACTCAGCAGTTGCTCCTTGGAAACCCTACACTGGGTCACTATGAGCTGGAACTGACTCGACTGCATTTCACAATACATAGAGACTATATTTGTGAACGTGAAGACTGTGCACCACGGTGAGCTGGGTCTTGTAACACATCCTGGACTCTCTTTCTTACTGTGCATTGCTAAGAACCATGGGGTAGAAAGGTTCCAAGAACCAGATTCCATTCTCATTGCCCAGGCAGCCAGCACCCAACTCTAGGAATGTTACTCCCTAAAAGTCAAGGGAAGAGAAAGTGGTCTGTATAGACACTGGTTTAGATACTGGAATTTCCATCTTCTTTGTTGTTGTTGTTAAGGGCCATCGAATAAGTTCCTGTATAGGGTTTCCAAGAAGCAGCTGGTAAGCTTGAACCACTGACCTTGTGGTTCAAACTGACTTTGCAGTTCAGTGCATTAGCCCACAGCGCCACATAAAGTTTTCTGTTTGCCCTCCTTCACACACACACACACACACACACACACAGAGTAACACACTGCTCTAAACTATGGTTACCTGGAAAATCTGTTTACAACACGCTCTGTAAACAGTGATGCTTTCCTGGAAAATTAACATTAGATTTGCAAGGCTGCCACTCACGTTCCAAGTGTGTTCTTTGACAAAAGTGTAATATTTAGCTTTTTAGGGTAAAGGATACTGCTAGTAAATAAAACAAGGCCCGTCTCTCTTCTACTAATCATCTGGACATGACTTTTTGTCTTCAGTGTTTGGCAAACTCTGCCTTTTTACATTTCTATTTTAGGTATACAACTTAACTGACTTGACGTCATTTTGGGGTTCATGATTTTCATCTGAAAAATTGTGACCCACCAGTTGTTCCCGAGCATGAGACAACTTCTGTCCAGACGCTAACTGCCCTCATCACTCTCTGCCTGCTCTCTGATGAGCTGACAGATGAACGTCCTGCCAGAGCTTTCTCAGGGGCCTTGTGCTCCAAACAATCAATCTAGACAAACAAGGCTTTGATGCACAGAGACAGATCCAACATCAGGCTTCCACCTCAACCTCATGCTTAAGGCAGGTTGGGACTGTTGGCCGTTCCGTTTGGAGACACTGGGCATGGGGAGCACGCTTTGACAACATCAACACTCACTTGTGTAGGAGTCATGGCGAGGGTTGGGTTCTCCAGGCCAGAGATTTACTGTGTGGATTGTCTGGGCTGCGAGCTCTCAAACTGAGCTGGACCCGGGGCTCATGCAATGAGGAGATGAAGTGAGATAAACTGGCACTCACGGTTGTGACAGGTGGCTCCGCTGTATCCTGTCTCATCACACGTGCACTTGAAGCTGTCCCACGTCTGAGAGCATTTCCCCCCGTGTTCGCAGTGATTGGGCACGCATCTGCCAGAGAGACAGAAATAACCAACACAAATGAGATCTATGAGTGGCCAAACTCCAGCCTGTCGGGCAATACATCATCCCAATGCCAGTCTGCCTTAGCAAGGCAATTCATCCTGGTTCGTTTAAGCAGATTAATAGGATTCATGATGGGAAGTATCAGCTATACAAAACATGAAGCATCCCAGGCTGGCGCCTCCCGTTTTGTGAGTAAACATACGAACCAATAGTGGAAGGCCCGTTTCCAGAGCACACATCCATTTACTTTTCCTTTGGCACGATACAAACACTCCCCCCACCCCACCCCCACCCCCACCTCGTGAGCGTCCCTCCTGGTAAGGGTGGAGGTGGGTGGTCATTTTATTGCCCTGTGCTCAACCTTTCTCCTGGGCAGACTGAGTTAGAAGGTCTCAGGTGTCCACCTCAGGTTCTGAAGCAGTGCCATGCAAGGCAGAACACACAGTTCCTGAGATCAGATTCCCACTCCTGACTCCCCTGTGAGGTCAGGCT